CTTTGCAACCCTCGAGCCAGACTTCCCTGCACCCTTTTCGGTAAAGATGGGTCCCATTAAGGTCCTCCGCACCACGTGGAGCCCGCGAGGACAGACACTGTACATGACAGTGGAGATCTCCCGACTCATTGCATCACGGGAACGATGCTTTTAGGACTCTCGATCTATATCGAATTAGTCCCATGCTTCTCTAGGACGAAACTAGACTGGACATCATTTCCATTGGAAACGCATCTACCCACTTCTATTTCTTGTCAACGTGCATTGGTGGATCTAGTGTGAAGTCTTGGGGTGGAGTAACTCGACTGAATGACTCCAATGGAATGCAGCGACAAGAGGTCCAGGATAGAGGGTATCATCAATGCTGCTTTTCCCGTCTGTTGGACTTTCCGTGAGATAAGTCGGGCACAAGCCTGCATGTAACGAGCTCCAGATACCTGCTTCACTTGTGTTGAACCTCGTTTCACCTGTGCTCCAGGCTCCAAAAGCCCATCCCCCTGATCTCCTCCTCTTTCTCCGAGTTGTTTTTGTCAGCTGCGAGTTCGGAATGCTCTTCCCCGTGCGCGTATTTCTTGTAGCCAAGGTTATTGTGCTTGTACTACCTCAACGCACAATGAATCGACAATAAAAAAAGGGGAAGAGCCAGGAGAAACATCGTAGATTTGATTCCCCTTTGGAATTCGAAGACAGAGGACCGGGGCTTTGAAGTGAAACGACTTTGCGTAAAGGATGCTGGACCACTGAAGGACACCAGCGTGAGGACTGTAACTATGCCATGGCTTTGAAAATGACCAGATGATGGTCTCCGTTGAGCTGTATAACAGAATGGTTTGAATATATCGTTTTCGAGACGTTGCACCCAGTCGTTTCGGAAAATCACCAGGCTTAATTACTCTTCAAGAGAGTTCCCTTCTTATGCCTCGATAACAGCTGCGAGAAATGATCGTGAGTTGCAGTGGCATAGAGTGGGAGGAAGAAAAGATCACGGAGGAAGGTCACATTGTTGTGGCAGAAGTCAACCGAGTGTTCGCATACATAACAGGTTCAAAGTCAAACGCTTCAGTCACTCCCCATGCCGCGTCCGATATTCCAAAATCCCAACATCTCCGAGTCCTCAAACCATCCAGGGATATACTTCTGGACTTCCGAATCTACCATTGACCATCAGACTGTCAACGACGCTATTAATATAGGGAACAATATGATTACAGGTTTCGTACATAAATCTAGACGTCTTCCACAGTGTGTATATCTTCGAATCTCCCGTACGTCATTCCACTGAATGTTTTTCTATCCATCTTGGTGTCTAGAGGTCCCTGGAACCCGTCAGTCTTGTAGAGTTACTCGAAGACACCTTCGCGATTGCAAGGGTAATCAGCTACAAGCAACCTTTCACTGGTATCATAAACAGAGCATCCAGCTCTGTCTACAAGAATTGGGTGTCATCAACGACCCCATAAAGACTGCTGTTCATTTTGCGGGTCTCTATTCGCGATTATCCATGTCCGATTTTTGGCTGGACGATATTTAGGAGTGTCCAGTTTTACGGAAAATGCAAATGATCATGATAGACTATGAACGGTATGCTCCAAATCTCTTCTTTATCCACCAATCATCGACCGATTTACAAGCCAGGCTCTCCGATGCTCAATTCATGATCAGAAACGAGATCTATTCACTCAACGCAGAAAGAACATATGGATAAAGATCATCTCTGTCGATGGATTTCATTCTTGTGGGCCACCTGGTCGTTTCATCTGGAGCATTGCGTTCCGATGTTTCCGCGCTGGTGCCACCATACAACATAGAAATTGATTTCTCAGAGCTCAGCGTCAGTTCGAGTGAGGGTTTTTCAAGTAAGTTCATAGCTCTTTTAACACCTAGGCTACTGTGGCATGTTTTGTCACCGAAGCTCAGGTGACCCAAGTTCTTTGCTGTCAATGTCATTAAATCATGCAGCCTGTTTTTCTTAACTTAATCACAGTCGTACACACAAGTCTCGTTTTCTCGTCGTACCTAAGCTCCTCCGTTTGCGAAATGGGCTGGTATCCCTTTCCTTCATCTTCCAGGAGCGAAGTCTCCTACTTAGCGGAGTAGGAGAGTGAGTCAAAGTGAGGCCACAGAAAATGGCCATTGCGTCTAGCCATACGAGTGCTTACCCGCGGCCCTCTTTCTAGATCCGCAAGTCCACTGTGTTTGCTGGGTGTCATCTAAGCTCCCAGATTTAACAGTATGGTCGTGTTTCTGTTCATATTGCCAGAAGTTCAAGGAAAACCTGTACCGATGGGTTCTCGAGATGAGAATTGCTAAAGATCCATCCGCCTCAAATCTCTCTCCTCTTCGAGGACTTTCCATGGCGGAACATGCTCCAAGAGTTACAGTAAATTGAGATCTACATTTACATCTCTGACAGCCCAACTTTAGCCCACCAAAAGTCACATTCCTCCTTACTCCAATCATCCACTTCCATTTTCGCAATCGTACCAAGACTGTCTCCTCCTGCCCTCTCGTCATTTTCTTCACCAAACACCATCACCTTAGGATCGCTAACATCGTACTTTGCCCAAACCTCCCTCCCGTCTGCCCTCCCGCGTAATGCATTCGGATCTCCCATCGTAATAAACGAAGTCCAGTACGCATGCAAAGTCTCCGCCATCTTCCTCTGTGTCTCCGAAATCTCCAACACGTCCTCGTTCATTGTCTGATACTCCATGTGGTCCCCATGATTCGCGCCATTCCTAACCGTCTTGTTCAGAGCCCAGTGGTATAGATACACCGATTGCTCTTGAGTCGGCGAAGCCAAGTTCACTGTCTGTCTCACAGGACAGATGTATGCGTAATTCGCATAAGCTCGTTCTGCCCTCTTAAACTGAGGTCCTACAGCGATAGCTGTGAGGTTCCTCGTGTCGACGTAGGGAGAGGAAGGATCCGTGCTTGGATCAGGATAGAGTTCCTCTATCCTATCTAAATCCTCCTCCGTCAACCGTGGGACGAGTGTCCCAAAAAAGTCTCGGAATTCTTCAGAAGTCGACATGTTCGCGGGGACATATAATGACCCTTCGTTCGTGCTGAAACCTGTCATGATCGAGACGCGATTCCGTAGACCAGAAGCCCATTCGTCTATAGGTCGCTGTGAGATGATACCTTCTGTAGGATCGACGAGACCGTCGATGACGGGTTGAAAAGCCCATCGCAGGGAAGGGTTATATTTCTGGAAGATTGTCACCTGAGCGTCCATGACAGTCTGAGAAGGTTGGGATCGTAAACAAGGGAGGATATCACCGGTGGAAGGAAGACCGGCACATCCTGCCTCGATCAGAAATTCGTTAAATTGAGTCTCATGTAAAGCTGCGTTGTAGGGTAATACAGCTCGGGAGGTCGGAGCTCCGGATTCAATAATAACGCGATGGAAGAAGGAAGGTCTTTTGTAATCCATAAGATGGTGACCGATCTATGATATCCGAAGGATCATGGTTTAGCAAACAAAGTCTTGTAAGAACGAATGCAGAAGTAGGTTGGAGAGAAACATACCGAATGAGCACCTGCCGAAAGTCCAAAAAGTGTCACTTGGTTGGGGTCTCCGCCGAACGCAGCAATATTCTCCTGAACCCATTCCATAACCACGATCTGATCCTTGAGACCTAGGTTAAGAATCCCTTCTTCAGCGCTGATGTTCGAAGGCAAGAAACCTAGGGCCCCGATCCTGTTGGTAAGAGAAATAAATATGTTAGTAGGTCTATTCAAAACCATGGCAGCGGGACCGGAGACTGAACGAAATTAGTTTGAAGCCGATAAGACGTACCGATAGTTGAAGGATACCGCAACGAATGGGGCCTCAGACCAAGCTACCATCTGAGATGTGTTATGCATCGCGGCTGCAAAAATTGTTCTCTCCAGACATTCGCCCTTGTACAGACTTGAGAAGAGACGTACCAGTTCCTCGATTGAAGGCCCCTCCATGAATATACAACGCCACAGGTAAAAGTTTTGCCGTCCCTGACTTCTGGCCAGGGTTAGACTGTCGTGGACGAAACACGTTCAATGTCAAGCAATCCTCGCTCTCTGGGAGATCAGCCCCGGGAATTTGAACGAATTGTTTGCCTGGGCATCTATGTAGAGTACGCAAAGATTGAAGACAACTTTTCGTCAGTATCTAACATGACCAACACCCAACGTCTTGCGGAATAAAAATAATTCAGCTCACCTTGGCCCAAACTTTTGTGCTTCTAATGTCTCGTTCGACTTTGCGGCTGGTACAGCCTCACGAAATCGTCTGTCACCTATTGGGGGAAGGGCGTAGGGAATTCCCCTAAATGCATCGATAGCTTGGGGCCAATAGTCCTCCCTCAGTACAGACCCAATGTATGTTTGGCCACGCGGGATCGTCACACGAGGCCCATCGTCCCGATGCTCCAAAGACTCGGATGCGCGCAATATGAACTGTTGTGAGTTTGAAGTAGATGTCGAAAAAGCAAGGACGGTAAAGGTCGAAACAACCCAAAGAACGTGTTGGAAGCCTATCATTGCCAGATAGTGCTCGTGACCTGGTCAAAAGAATCCGCCATGTCCTGCTTCGAATCTTTGTGTTTAAGTATGTTAACGGTAGCGACTCGGTTTGTTCGCAGGTTAAAGGCAAGAAGCAAATAGACGAGATAAAGAAGACTGAGGTCACTTGATTGCTTGGTTGGCCGCTGCAAAGACGTAAACATACCGCAAACATACCGCAAATGCCTTTTTGGCTGAAGCTTCAAGCATACCTTTCCACGAGCTGCGTAAACATATTCAAGACTAATGCATACTGCTTGGGGTGCGCACAAGGTCAACTCATGTAGGATGCAGAGGAGGAATTGTTGCTCTGTGGTCGATGTCATGTCGTGGCTTGCGGCACTCAGCACGGTCCAGTATCAAACAGTACTTCGTGATTCCTCAGTTGTTCTCAACGAGCTCATTTTCCCAACTAAATTCCGACTGAATTTTCATAAAATAAGAGAAAAGTTCAATGGACACACTGGGAATTGAACCCAGCACCCCCCGCATTCAACGTTCGTCAGACACTTGACAGAAACCTTCTTAGTTCAGAAAGGACCTGCTAAGCGGATGTGATAACCAACTACACCATGTGCCCATCGAGGTTGACTTTATTGCGACTACATACAACGCGTTGTAGGGCCCGAGGTCCAAGGTTGTTGACCTGAGGGTGTTGACTCTATGGTAAGATATGGTAAGTATTCCGAAAACAAGTTGAAAGCAATAGGTATGACTACTCTATGTATAATGATACATCTATCCAAAACACCTTATCTTCGCCCCAGCTACGCCCTCCTCTCTTCCCCACTCCCGCCCGCGCCAACGTTCGCCAAAGGAATCTCCCCTCCTCCTCTTCCTAACCGTACACTCTCCTCGTGTTTTTGGTTGTTCTTTGCAACCGCATACAACACCCCAGCGAAAAACCCTGTGGCGATAGCAGAGACGCTTCCTGGAGTGACAGGATCGCCGAAGAAGAGCATTCCCGACGCCGCAACGGGGAGTTTATTCAGGGCACCTGTCATACTATGTAGAGAGAGAAGTGAAGACAGCCACGTCAGTATCTTATTAACACAACCAAGGAGTGGAAGCAATGCGGAAAAAGGTTGGAAAAATACAAGGTTGGAAAAATACCCACCTGTAAGTCGTACTACTCGTAACTCTGATACACCAAGCTGTCGTGTAAGAAATCCCTACTGCAGCTGCGCCAGAGAACGCGATAGCTCCTAAAAGTCTTCCTCTGGTCTCATGAGGGAAATTAGTCTCAAGGGATTCGGTTCCCCAATTTTCGAAAATGAAAGAGAAAAGGAGGAGGACAGGAATAGAGAGGAGGTTGGAGTAGAACATGGAATCCCAGTCGGAGAAACCTGTGGATTTTATCCGTTTGCGCATTGTTAGGACCTGGTTTGAATGGATAAGGGAGAAAAGAGGAAGTTTAGTATTGAGTTTTGGTGAGCTGAAATCGTAAAGGAAGTAGGAGAGACGACGGGACGCACATAAGTTGCACTAGTCAAGCAATTGACCAGCATCCAAAAGTATCCCACATTCAGCTTTTGCACTACTTCACTAACAGACTCGAACCCCAAAGACATCGATGCAGACGTGGATGCAGGGTCAGTATATCCTGATAAAGCATTTGACACGTCTGACCAGGCGGCGATAATAGAAGAAACAACCATGAATACGAAAGAGATTAAAGTGAGGGTTGTTACTTTTCCTCCGAACCAAAGGACTTCTCCATATGCGATGAGGATGATAGTGAGGTTTTTGAAGATGGTGTAAACGGGTATGGAGAGGTATTGCTTAACAAAGACGGGTATCAGTTACATGGTATGCTTTAGAGGTGGAGGCAATAGACACACCAAACTCTTGGAACCAGTATATATGACCCAAACGAGCATAAAACTTATAGGAAACCACGTTTTGGCGTCGTTCGAGTCAAGGCTTCGAAAAGAAATAACACCTAGTTTCTTGAACAGGGAGACGCAGGCTATGCAGACCGAAGATTGGATAGTGAGGAGGAGGAAGGTCATTGAAAAGTTTTTGCCTGACACGACGAACTAAGGTATAGAAAACAAATTAACTGGGTCATCTTATGGGATGAGATAGACAGGGTATACCTTGTTTACGAGGGTCATAAGGATGGACGCGAGGCAGTATGCGATGATGGACGGGCCAGCAGCGCCAGCGGCCATCATGGTGGTGGTTCGTCCGCAAACGCGTAAAATACCATTTTATCTTGTGACCATTGACTACCATCATTCATGTTGCCCTCGACATTCGTCTCGTTTGCCATCCTTTTCTCCTCTAAAATCGAGCTTGTCTCCTTTCAATCCCTGGCCTGTACCCTCGACAAACCGCGTATTGTGCTTTTGAACGAAAAAAAGAACGGCTACATCGGATTGGAATCTTGTACGCTTGGATATTCGACCGACCTGCACTTGATTGACAACCCAGATGTTCTGTTCACTACGACAACTGTTACGACTCAGATACCCGCCAAAACAACTCTCAAAATTCCTCCTTCGTCCCTTCTCTATACCTCTTGGATGACTGCACTCTCACCTACTGACTGGCAACAATATCACTCTCCCAAACTCACACTATCTATCATAACCAACACCCGTCCTCAATCTCTCTCTCGTCTCTTCAATTCTCTTCAAAATGCACACTACTTCGGTGATACCAGCATCTCCCTCCGTATCAACCTCGACCAACCCGCAGACACCTTCACCCGTTCCCTCGTCTCGTCTTTTGCTCAAGCCTGGTCTCATGGTCCTGTCTTCATCCATTATCGCGTTGTCCAAGCCGGTCTCCTTCCCGCCGTTCTAGAATCCTGGTATCCTTCCTCTGACGACGAATACGCTCTCCTCCTTGAAGATGACGTCGAACTCAGTCCCCTTTTCTATATCTGGGTCAAACTGTCTTTGCTCAAATACCGACTCGAACCAAGCCTGTTTGGGATAAGTCTATATCAACCCAAGAACGTCGAGTTACATATGGACGGACGTAAACCGTTCGATCCGATGGATGTTTTACCTAAGGACCATCCAAAGAATGCACCGTATCTTTCACAGATACCTTGTAGTTGGGGAGCGGTTTATTTTCCAAAGCACTGGAAAGAGTTCCATGATTTCATGATGCTACGGTTGTCTGAACTTTCTCAGTCGTCGACCTCCGCTTCCCATCCTCAACAAGAAGCTCAAAGTGTTACCCCAGCTCCCTTCCTCTCCCTATCCACACCAATCGTCCCCTCAATCCGCTCCAACAAATGGACCAAATCTTGGAAGAAGTATTTCATAGAACTCGCTTATCTTCGTGGATATGCGATGCTTTATCCGAATTTTCCTGACTATTTATCGTTTTCGACCAACCATCATGAACCTGGAGTTCACGTCCGTCCTGCTTCTTCGTGGTCGAATTCTTCCTCGCAATCTTCGACCTCGTCATCGAACTCTTCCGTAAGAGGATTAGCGTTGTTGGATCGGAATTCGTTCTCTCCAGATATAGATATAGTGAACACTGATCTCAAGCTGGATACAAGGGACAGCAAATCGGAACCTCAACCTCAACCTTACTCGGATAGGCTCAAACAAGAATTCACAGTACCTCTTTTCACGACGACGTCTCCCTCGCATTTGCGTTACCTCTCACTTGCTCCCTCTCTTCCCCTTTCTTCTTTTCTTACACCTCAAAATCAGCAACAGCAACAAAGTCGTGAGAGAAGCTATCAAGACTATCCGCTCAAATTTACTCGTTTCGACCTTTTTTCAAGAAGACAGCGTGATTGGGATCAGGACTGGGATACCGATGCCCTTTCTCCACCTCAGACTCAAGCCGAATCTCAATCCCGATATGTGGACTTGAACCCTAATTCACCGCCCCTCTTCCCTCCCCTCCCTTCTCTTCCTGTCCTGAACCTAACAGGCTCGCTCGTCCCTGGGGGACTAGGAAGTGTTGTGGAATTAGGGTGGAGGAGGAGAAGGGAAGTAGTCAGGGAGTGGTGTGACGTTGGACAAGGAGAAGACGTGTCGACGTACAAGGATGGGGAAGATAAACAAAGGGGAGAGGGGACGGAGTTCGATGCCTTTGGGTTATTTTGTGTTGTTTGATTTCTTTTGAAATGTCTTAAGCACGTTACGAGATCTTAATATACAGTATATGCATACCCAGGTTTTTCTTTCTTTGCCTCTCCAAGTGATATATTCTTAGTAGTATTTCGACGTTATGGAGGATAGAAGAGGCGATCCAAGATTACCAACGCCGGGGGAGTCACATGTATCATACTTAATCTGACAACTAGTTGACATTGAACTATCATCGATATCTCATCCAGTGCCTTTCACCTCTTACCGTCTCGTCTCTGGGATACCCGCATCAAGCTTTGGGCACACAAGCCGTCCATCGATATTCCCAAGTAACTTCATCTCTTGACTTGTATATGATAAGAAGTAAGCGTTGGATATAGAGTAGTGAATTGTACAAATCTAGGTCTAATTGGGATTACTGGCAGATGTCGACATCTCCTATGAGAGAAATTGGAGAAGTCGATGAAATTCCACGTTTTCGTCTAAACGACGAGACGAGTATTCCAGCTATTGGCCTAGGGTATGTTTCCTATACACAAACTTACGGGTCTATTTTCTCCTTTTCCGAGAGCTTTTGAACAACTTTCAATGAAATCAATCTGGATCTATTTCGTATAATCAAACAGATGCTGGATGGGCTTTCCTCACGGACCAGGAGAAAGTACACAAGTCACGGAAATGGTCGAGAGAGCCTTGAAGGTCGGCTATAGGCATTTAGATACTGTGAGTTTTCTTTTGCTCATATCTTTTTCAAAAGTTCAGATTGTCGTTACTTGGTCTCTGTGTCCGAAGTTCTGACCTTGACTTTGACTTCTATTACTTTAATGGCTCGATTCTGGTGACTAGGCGTCGAACTACGGTAAGCATTCGCCTTTCGGTTTCCCGCTGAAATTGCTAAATGTTTGAGACAGGTAACGAACGTTCTGTAGGTCTCGCGATCAAAGGATCAGGCGTTCCTAGGGAGGAGATCTACGTGACGACCAAATTGTCGTGAGTTCTTTCCCTCTCCTCGCTTTCACCTCCATTTCCTTGTACCTTTTTCTGTTTGTTCTGTCATTCTGACTTAAGTACACTTGCGATATGCAAACCCCCCAAAAAATCACAAAATTCAAACTTAAAACGCGACAAAAACAGAGGCGAAGACCATGGTCACGTCGCTCAAGCCCTCGACCGAAGTCTTGAAAAGCTTCAGATGGATTATGTCGATATGTATCTGATGCATTGGCCTCAAGCTTTGGACGATAATGGTGCGTGTTGTACTTTCCAGTTTAAAGAGTTCGACCACTTGCTTCTACATTCTTCACAATCACTTGTTCTCTATTGGGTACTAGTCATTTGTGCGAATACCGACTACTGTGTTGTTTCCAGGTAACGCTCTCCAACCTGAAGAAAGCCCTACAATCCTCGATACATGGAGGCAGATGGAGGAAATGGTTCATTCTGGTCAGTTAATGCACCTCTCCGATGACACTGATTTACTTGGTTACGTCGGATGGAATCCATTTTTGAATTT